TTTATTTGAGTTCTCATCTCGTCACATTGCCGTCCGGATCATTGCCAATTGTGAAAGCTCTAGTCCATTTTCTTTGGTTTTCCGATGTTGGCAGCTTCAGGTATCTGCAGTTTTGGGCCACCCACCCCTGAGCGTCGACATAAGGTCTCAGAGTTATAGCTTCAGCTTTAGTTATAGCTAGGTACTCGACCAAAAATTGTGGATTTCTTGACTGTCACAGTGAGGGAAAATAAAAGGAGTAATTTACAGAAGATATAAATATGTAGTGGTAATGTTTTATTCTTATCTAATATGCCTCATGCAATATTCCATACAAATGCTTTCACAAGCTACCACAACCCATCCAATCTTTATACATTTGGACACTTGTGTTCACTTAAATTTAGGTGATTATTGCACAACCAGGTCATGGGTTCTGTCGACAACTAACTGACTTTGAATGTTACGGCATAATAAAAGTACAACTAGAAAAAAAGAAAAGAAAAACAGCACCGGATCAACACACTGATTGAAATTAACACATAAGCTTCTATGCATTACATCTATTGTGAACTAATATCTGCAGCACTTACAACTCGATTTTAATTTACTATATTCAGATGGTCAACTCGGTTAAACTCTATAGGGGAATAAATTGTACACATCCCACATCGAAATTTGTGCAAGAAAGCATGATGAAAGCGTAAGTACAAGTCATCTGAAATATTTCAGTTCAAAAGGTTTGCGTTCACAGCAAACTTTATCAGATCCACACTTCTATTTCCTCATTATTTTAGATCCACCTTACAAAAGATGGGCAAAGATATTAAGGTAGTAATCTTGGGTTTCATACTTAGATGAACAGTTAAAGACTTCTTAAAATGTTAAACACAGTTATACTGCTAAAACACGGAGAAATAGCTTGCCAGTACAGTTAATGCTGCAACTAACATTTTATATTTCACTAGGGAAGCAATCAATAATTCTTATTCTGTCCATTCAGAAAAGTGAAGGAGAAGCTGTTCAATCATTCTTAAAATATCTGCATAAACTTAGTCTTTCCAGTCACAATGTACCGGCATTCAACAAAATAAATGATAAAGATAGCAATGCTGCTCACCAAAAATAGATTTTAAAAAAAATCAAATAATGAGCAATTAACAACAGTTCACCTCACATTAACAACAGATAATTATTTACTATCCACAAAGGTAGTCTCAAACACGCACAAAAAAATAGCTTCTTTGTTTGGTCAAAGTGAAGCTGGATTACTTTAGGTTTGAAAATGTTGGCAATACCTTAAAGATGTTTCAGTCAACATGGTAGACAGCAAATAAATCTGACACTCTGTTCACATGTGAGTTTTAGTTATGCCATAACACTAAATTGAGATCATTAAAGAAAAAATACATTTCTAAGTATCAACTAGAAAAAGACACATACAAAACATAAGTAAAATACATAATGCCAGTACACCTTACAAAGGCAAGCCCTGTAAACAAAATCTAAGCAAATTACATACATATGAACCATAATCATTAACACAATTGTTTTAAACAGTTTTAATACCATCAAGCATGTTTGAACCCATTGCTTATAAAGGTTTAAAGAGGTATGCGCAGTTTTGAAGTTCCATAAATACATTAGATAATTATTTTTCTAAGTAACAAACATTGCCTTTGGCTTTCAAACATCAGACTAGACTACAGGAAGGCTCCCATTACATTGATAGACACCCTTACGATACAGAGATCATATCAAATGTGGATGGTATGTTTGTTTGATCTGTTATTGTTGCTATCATAGCTTTTTCCATTCAAGCCACCCACTATTCAAAGCTTCCACATAACAAAAAATGCAATGTAAAAATAGAGATCAACAGGAAGAAAACTAATGGTAGACGAAAATAGTAATAAAAAACATACATTAACAAAGCAATACTCAAAATCAAAAAACACATTGTTCTAAAGCCACAGTGAGGATGCCTTAGGACTCCTAAAAGCCTCAGTCAAATATTACTATCACATTCGAGTAAGAGAGCAGTTTTGCAGTGAGCAAAGTTAGAATTAACCTTTTTCTTTTCACAAACAATTAACATTGCCCATTATATTTTTAAAAACAATATTATAAGAGTGAACAAATAATACTTTGAACCTGATTTGCCTTCTGAAGACAAAAGTGGGTCAATATTATTTAAAGCCAAACATCAGCAACTTCATGAAAATACAAAAGTATGAGTTCTTTACAAAAAGGGATTGCTTAAAATGGCATCTAAAAATTTTCTCCTAGCTATGGTTTTCTTGTTGCAAAACATCAAATAATATCTCACAAAGAACCACTTCTTCTATGGGGAACAACATTCTCTAGAATTCGACAATTCAAGCACAGCTCAAAACTACTCTGACATGGAAAGTGAATTGAACTTAAAAAGGACGGACTCTAAAATGCACAACAGTAAAAGAATTAGAATTTATTTCAAGAATATTTTTTTAGAGAGTTGAAGTAATAAGACTTCTTACAACAAATCTTTTAACTTAGCCAGTCTCAAATACTACATTTGCAGTTATTTACTTTTCTCTTACTTTAGTTGCAGACACAAGCCTATAATATCCACATGTGTGTGTAGGCATACTGGATTATATTTTGTCCACCAATTCAATTCAGAAAGGAGAGAAAAGCTGAACAGAGTAAATAAAGAACTATATTCTAACATGTTCAAAGCCCATTGAAAATCTAACATCTGTAAGCGGTAATCAGCTTAATTAATACTTGATATATAGTTGGCAGGAGGCGAGGAGGCATGGCATTTTGATCTGGACTGAAGAAGGGCTCAAGTGTATGAGGTGTCATACAGAAATAACTATTTATCCAACTCACATAACAAAGCATTTTACCGACGATTTACAAACTCCACAAAATGAATACCTTTCGCAACAATTAATGCTTTGTCCTGTGACATGAGTGTAAAGGCACTTAAAAACCATTCAGATAAATTCACCATCAAAGTTATGGTTTGCTATTCTAACCCTTGAAATGTATCAAAGCTTGATCTCAAAGCAAACATGCAAACTTGAAGAGCGTGCTTGCATCAAAGAGTGACAGGGAATAATTATTAAGATACAGATTTATCACATTAGTGGTTATGGTTCTTGCGGCGCTGAAGATCAACAGCAACATCCTCAACTGATATGAGTTGTTCTAGTGGAATACATCCAAGTTCCCCCCCAGGTTGACGGTTTGGGTGCAACATTTGTTCCATAGCTTTTTGTTCAGCTTTCTTTGCTGACTGCTCCTGAGCTTCACGAGCCCTCCTTTCCTTCAGTTTCAGAGAGAACATAGCAACTGTTCTAGCGCGCTTCATGAGACTCTGTTTAACCCGCTGTTTCTTAGCAGGATCCAGCTCTTGTCCAGTCTTTGGTATTGCTCCTAAACAAAAGGTACGTAAAGAAATAGAATTATATTGGAAACTAAATGAATTTAAGATTCAAGTTTGGTCTAATGCTCACCTTGAGATTGCACTGGTTCATCAACTTCCTGGCTAGAAGTGGTCGGGCTGCTATCTGAGAAGCACTGGTCCCTTTCAGGCGAAAGCCTAAACTTAGGCTTGAGATAAGCTGTGGTCCAGGGTGGGGCTGACTTTAATAAATCAGAGTCTGATGAAGCCGCCAAGTCCTGAAAATAATGACGGTGACCTTCAGACTTTATCTCAGCAACCATCAGTTATTAATTTCAACTGGTTATACTTGACTTAACGGATTTGAGATGAAATATAGATGGTCGTACCTTGCTGGCCGAGGCGAGACAGTCGGTGCTTCTCCTCGCCTCGGGCTCGCTGGTCTTCCTCGCAGGTCCGTCCAGGCCGAGGGCCAGGCGCCGCACCCAGTCCGCCCCGCCGTGCGGCCCGATGGTCAGGTGGTGCTGCAGCGCCGCCGCCTCCGCCTCCGTGCCCAGCCACTCGCGGGAGCGTCGCGGCGCCGAGGGGGCAGGGGTGGGCGGGAGCGCGTGCGAGAGGACGGGGTGCATGTCCTGCAGCGGGGTGCTGGCAAGCGACCCGCGCCCGCTCGCGCCCTCCGCCCAGTCGTGCGAGCGCCTCGCGCTAGACACGGACACCCTGCCGATGCTTGCCGGGGACGACTTGTCCGGCGTCTGTTGCCGGCTCTCCTCGACGAGGCCCTCCTCCAGGACAAGTACCGCCGCGGACGTTCGCCCCGTGCTAGGCGTGCTCCCTCTGGAGGTGGCATCCTCCAGGTCGCGGCACGAGGTGCCCGAGATGGAGGACCTGGAGGCTGGGGGCGTGTTGGTCCGGCTGGCGCTGGCGGCGGCGCTGATGGCGCTCTCGTCGACGGAGGCCTCTGAGCCGTCCTGGCTCCCGTGGGCAGCCGGCGAAACCATAAATCTGTGCCACAAACTTGAACAACTACATATAAAAAGAAAACAAAGCTGCAGGAATGAGGACACAAGAAAAATGGCGCTAAGCTGATGAAGTTGAACATAGGAGGGATGAGTGAGTGGACCTCTTGAAGATTGCTCACCTTCCAATGTAAGTGCTTGGTTGTGATGGGCATGATTCTGGGGCAGGTGTCTGTACAGTAGAGGAGAGTCGTCTGAGAGCTTCACGTCGTGCAAATTCCACTTTGGCCATTTCTATTGCCACCCATTTAGGTAAATCGGGTATGGCACAAGTGATCAAGAAACGCATAACAAGCATGCCATGCTGGAAATGTTATTAACTGTTAAACTCTCATTCTGTTTATTAAATTGACGATTAATCACAAATGATAGATGTTCAACATAACACAGGCAAATCTTACCTCCAAGGCAACAATTAGAAGAATTGTTTGTGTTGTTGACATTTCAGGAAACATGCGATGAACTTGTCCCGAAAGACCAATCAATGCACAGTTTACAAGAACTGCTATGAATCCCATTACATCCATAGCATTCTAGTGATGCAGAGATATAACAAAAATTAAAACTTGAAAACATTATGAATATCTTGATGAATAGGTACATAGTAATAGAATTTACCTGCCAAGTTCCTATATTGGGGACCCTCTGTCCAAAAGGTCTTTGAAAAATGAAGCAGAGCTTGAAGGCATCAGATCGAATTTCAATGATGTTATTAATAAGAGCACAAGTTGCAGCCATTGGAAAGGCAGATGAAAATAAAACAACGTATCCAAGCTGAATGAAAAGCTCTAGATGATCATCAAATGTTCCATTGTACTGAAAAAATAATTGTAATGCAGATTGTTTAATCATAAGCATACATTTTGTAAAAATCAAGTTCTTCCATAGATCAAGCAAACATTCACCTTGTAGAGAGCACTTTCCAACTCTGCCTGACTAACATTCCTATTTCCCGAGTTTGACCTTCCCTCCTCATATATTTCGTTATTTGTATCTACTTCAGATGTAGACCCTTCTTGATGCTCGGTCTCTAGGCTAGGAGGCTTTTTATTTTCAACAGATGGGCTTAACGCACCAAATAGATCAAAACTCAACTTGGCAAGGCGCCATTGTTCAAGAATGTATGGAAAAGCAGACTCCTTTAAATTTCCAATCACTTGACGAGCAATTAGTAAAGCAGCTAGTTGCTAAAAACCAATAAAGAAAAAAAAGAATTAGAACAGAATAAATGACTCTTAAAAAGTGAGCTAATAATAGAAATGGCTCACCTCCTTTAGCCTTTCCTGATCTTGTAGGTAGAAGGCAATATAAAACAGGGAAAGGAACGAGTTCACAAACTGGAACTGGTAACAAAAAGAAAAAGAAAATTGATATATAATTAACAGTTTTAGCATCAACTTCTACAGTCAAAATTCATGCTATGACCTGCTGATCTGATTTATGCACTACATTTTCAGATTGCGACGGCATAGCACAAAGCACTGTCTGGCACATTAAAAATGGGCACTACTGTACTTCAAGCTACACTTCCAGATAAATACAAGTCTTGTTGAGAAAATAATGTATACAATTGCATTTACTGTACTATGCACAATGGACCACCACAAGGGTTTTGGAGGAAGAGCCAATAGAAATTCACAAATTCAGTGCGACTGTGTATCTTGGGGGCTGGTAACCCTGTAAAGTGTGACCACATTGTGATCCAGCCGCACTGAATGAGCAAATCACTGAACAGACATTCCAGATACACAAATGCACAATATTTTGGTAATAAATCCAGTTGCTAATAAATACAGAAAACAACAGTAGAACACACAATGAGCAATAGATAACCTACAAAGGTACACATGTGGTAGATAACAGACATCTGGAAAAGCGTAATTAAATAATTCCAGTCATACATGTAAAGGGCTTCCATTCAATAAAGTGAACATGCACACAAATTCTTAGCTTCCCTTCCAGAAAGAATTAAAACCAGCAATCATTCCCTCATTCAAAGCAGTAATTTTTTAACACTTAAAAATGAAAATGTGCTACACAACACAGCATATTGCATGCCATGGCTTCTTTGCTGCTTTCAACAGAAAAGGGCCAGAAAAAAAAATACTACACATCACTGACAACAAGAGCGAAATTCTCCAAACTTGTGATTGACATTCCACAACAAAACGTAACTGTAGCAGAGCAATCTATAAATGCAGCAATGCTCAGTGCAACAAGGCCATTCCAATCCTCTTATCCTTACAATACTGAAACATACAGAGTGTTTATTTTCAATATGGCTCTTTTCCTAGCAATAAGCCATATTGCAAAATAAGTTCACCCTGTGCTTGCTATACATATAGAGCAGCCAGCATAGTGAGAATCAATATTATTGAGAAGTACAAACCAAAGCCACTTTCACGATGAGATGATTTTCATACTTGGTCTCAAGTCTGTAGTTTTCTGTTTGCAAAAAAGTAAAACTCTTAAATTTTCTAAATTTCTAATGTTTTTTCAAAAAAGGGTCCAGCTCAGGCAGGGATCCAACTTCTCTCCTTATTACAGTCCAATTTAAAAAAATAACCACATGCACAATCATTCCGTATTATCAATGTATCGTACTTGGCAAACAAGTTGGTAGATAGATACGTTTTAGGGAAACCTGACTTGAGGATCGATTAATCTTACCTTTGTCATTCAACCAGCATGCAACTTTGTAATAAGCTTCATCAAGAACACTTATCACAATGGCCAGTAAAATTTTAGGTAGGTAGCTTAGACAAAAGGGGTAACCATAAGATTCAATCCGTTTGTCCCACCAATCCTGGAAAGCATTTCAGAGAAGTTATAAGTTGAAAAAATGAATGACTCAAAACTGCACATCACATGCATGATTCAAAGTTTTGGAATATACCTGAAGCTGAAGAATGATTATCATGACGAAGAATACAATTGCAAGACAAAGACCTATGATTGGAACACTAACAAACCAGCGAAAGACATGTCTTTTCCAAGGTGGAAAGTACGGTTCAAGTCTACCTGTTACTGGACTAACTTCTAACACTCCCTGTGATGATTGATAAGAATGACAATAATTAATTTTCATAAACTTGCCTTTAAAAATTCCTGTTAATGGTGATGAAACTTGTTACTTACTGTGTACAACGGCCTTGGTTCAACCAGTAGCTCATCTCGTTGGTCAAGGGTACCCCATCGATATGCAAGTTCTGCAGAATACCGTTTCCAAGCTTCTAAATAAATGCTGGCCCATAAAACATTGAAGAATGAAAAAAGGACATATCCAACATCTTGTGCATGCTGTGAACGGCCACTGAAACCCACCTGTAAAATTTAGATAGTTAGTGGAACTTTTACACATGGGTAAACAGATACAATGTACACAGGTTACAGAATTAACACAGATTGTTAAATTAAAGGAATTGGTCAAACCTATGCTGATGAAAAAAAAGCAAAGATAGCATGGTCTAGTCAAGACAGCAATGGATCAAAAGAGAATCCTTTGAATCACAAACACTAGATTACAATCAAACAGCTGAACTGGAAAATCCTACCCTGCTAACTGCACATAACAGAATCCATCAATCAAACATGCAATAGCAGAAACTAGTACCTGTGTACTAATACCCCAAATTCAATTTTCTGATGTCTAGGTTTCAAAAAAAGGAGACTATGATCAGACTTCATTCAAGCTTACCCAAAACATAAATCCAACGAACGCAGGTACAAGAAGTGCTGCAGTGTAGTGTCCGAGCCATGCAAAGTACATGGCAATCTTCACACCAAAGTACTCAGAGATGGCATCTACCGAGAAAGAAAGACAATTTTTTTCAGATAGGAAAACAAAACCTAAAAGAGCAAAAGAGTGAGAGGGAGAGAGAAAGAATGACAGAGCAGGGGTAAGGTGACTTTAGAAGACAAAGATAAAGAGGAAAATATGGAAAATGCACAATCAATTGCTAAAATGGATACTATAGTTAAAGAAGCTATTCAGCATTGCATTAAATTAGATCATAAATCAGTTTTAAAAACTGAATAAAAAGTAGATATGGATATATTAACAAAGAGGGCTAAAACCATTAATTTAGTATTTAGGTGAACTTCTTTTTACTATTCAAGAACTCAGAAAAATTCTACATTAGTTTCAGAGTAAAACCAGGACACACCCATCCACCCCAATCTATATCTACAGACAAAACTCTTACTGCGATCATTGACACACCACTGAAAACCAAAATTACCAAATATCTACAAAGAAATCTACCAACCAGAAATTTATGAGAGTATATATCATACATGAGACACCAACATTCCCAAACAACATCCACTAGCACACATTATAAGACACCACTATTGATAAGGTACAAGGCACACCAACAAGAGAGAAAAGCCATTTCCCAAGAATTCAAAGTACCTTAAACTTCCTAAACTTTTATTCTTTCTTGATGTTCTTGGTTTTTCAGAAACAGCTATCATTGCTAATCTTGGTGCAGTGAATGACACAATTTTGTCAACATATTTTAACAATTTCATAAATATACATTTCATATCAGTAGAATAAATAGCATCCACCAAATTGATACAGAAGAGCATCCAAAAGTTCCATCTGCTGCTCGTTAAAATGAAATAAATGTTTATGGTATAGTGATGCAGCTGCAGCCATTAACCACAGATGTGAAAATAAAACCACTAAACACAAGAAAAGGTGGAAATATGTTTTGGTCTAAGTACGTTATAGCCAAAAATTGATGTACTCCTCCAACTTTGGATACAAAAATAAAAATGTCAAGAAAGTTTTTGAGATTCATTGTTTTCCGACTCTCTCCAGACTGGAAATTCCCAAATTAGGGACCTTAACTTACCTAAAGGTTGCAGGCTCAAGAATGCTCTGACCCATGACTGTTGTAGCTGCTGGAGCGATGGAAGATCGTGGAGAGGAAACACCTGAGATATTACACCGGCTGAGAGACATTTTGGAACTGGATGAAGAAAGTGAGAAAAATAGAGCATTAACCATGAGTGAAGCTGTCATAAGTTAAGAGCAATAATACATTTTTCTATTATCTTTACCAATTGCTTGTCCTTCAATAAACCGCAGTTTTCCAAAAATATCAGAAGCAGCAGCTTCAGCAGGACCAGCGCGTAGAGAGTGCAGCAGATGAAGCACAAGTGTCTGCCTTTCTTGTGAGCTGAAGAAAGTCTCTTCACATTCTGTCCCTTCAAAGCTGCTAATATCAGCCTGAACCAGTTCCTTTAAACCACCTCCATATTCAGCTTTTAAAAGTTTAGGAAGATGGATCTCTTCAGCTGCTTTTAACAACCTACCAGTGTGCAAACAAAGGTAGATCTTACAAACAACATTCATAATCAACAAATTCTTAACCAACAAATTTATAAAATAGTACAAAAAGTAATATCTTACACATTGAATGGAGCTGTGAGATAGAAGCCATAGCTATCAGATGATGAATGGTGCCTGACATGAGCAACCAGTCCTGGAGTACCTGCTCGTAACCGAGATAGTAGCCACATCAGAGTCGAATCAGCAGTACCAGAAGGGAACATCAAGACAACATCGCATTCCTGTCAAAGTCAAGATATACATTTTCACTTCTTCAAATTAAACCAAAATCAAAATATATGTAGTAATTATGCTACACAGTACACATAAAATCATGAAGAATTAAATCACTAACTTGTGTTGGAACTGTCTGGATCCACAAGCGTCGTGGAGTCATAAGATGCCCAGTCTGAGGAATCTTTCTTCTCAGCATTCTTGAAGCTGCAACCAAAAAGTACATATTTAAATCAGATCCGTGAGGGCACCTAACCTGTATCTCAATACTTTATTACAAGCATAAACGATAAAAGATAAAAATTCAGATTAGATAGCACTGACTAAGAAATTATAAGGAAAAGTATATGGCAAAAAGCAGGCCATAAACTGTAGGTCTTGGAATAATATACACACGATGTTGACAAGTCCACTTCAACACGTAGTTAGGTACAGATTGTTTAACATAACAGAGACAATTCATAGCTTTCGCCCAAATTTTCGCTCACCATTTTCAAATGTCTCTTTCGCACTAGTTATGATCTTTCGTTGCCGGACCACTGAATTCGTCAAAATATCATCTTCCTTTTCTTCAAAGTTACCCTGTTCAACTCCCTCCATCCTCGAGAAGTAATATAAAAACCGCACGATTGCCCCAGGGGTAAGTAATTGATTACGTCGCACAGATCTTGCTCATCCTTCACTCAATCGTTTCCAACATATCAAAAAGATTCTGTTTCAGAGAAGAATGCCGCACTTGCTGCTTTCTGCTTCTTCAGGCTGATCCCTACAAAACTGCGACTTGTCTTCTGCTACGATCGAGTAAACAATGGACTGTCGACTTGAAAAACAAATGCATGCAGCACACATTTGAACCATTGAAATTGAAACTCTTTAATTGTGTTTTGTTTTCCCAAAGTTCACTGCGAATGTTTTCATTCTATTTTTTTTTTCACTAGAAAAAGTTGCATTTGCGATGCTAACACTCAAATTTCAATTAAACGAAATGTCCATTGACTCATAGTGTATTTGTTTTTTTTTTGAAATCCCGCGGGAAAAGAAGAACCTGAAAATTTTCCAACATTCCTACGGAAGAAAATATTGAAAGAGTTTTCAGCGAAACATTTTGTTGATGCTTAATCATATAAATTTTTATTAAATTAATCTAAAACTTACTTTAAAACAAGCATGTTTGCTTACCAAGCAATTGAATAGAGATGTGTAGATACTGACCTAAGAAATCAAAATATCTGTGAACGTTGGTCATAGTGACAACCGTACCGGATATGTGGCGTAGCTTGAACATTTCAAACAGAAACGGTTTAGTTCGTGGTGAAGACCCAACGAGGCCACGTGAAGTTAGAAGCGTTGTGAGGTAAGGTCAAACTAGGCTCAAATCGGAATTTCGGACGAGTACACTACATTATTATTGGGAAAGGACTTCTCGCATGTTTTAGCAATAAGTGCACAGAGACCCATAGGCAGAATGTCGTCCTCTCTTGCGAGTAGTGACATACATTACAACAAGGAAAATAATGCTCCCCTGGATAATTGGGCAACTCCGGGCTCGTCGGGAGCAAGAGCCGACGTATTTAGGTTGTCGAGCACACAGGAGGAGTTTGCCGCTCTGGATACTATGCTCCTTAGTCAACCACTCAGTCAACCACTCAGTCAACCAAACAGTAGCTCAGTAAATCAGGTAAGCTATAGTGATCTGTCAAACCGCGGATTTCTCTATGCATTAGTGCTAAATGAATGCACTGCTGTAGAAACTGCTCCATTTGACTATCCACTTTGCTTTTTAGACGGAGCAATTTTTGCAAGGAATTCGGACGTCCTACAAACAACTATGTGATGAAAAAGACGCTGATGAATGCAGAATTATTGAACTTGATGAGGCAATAAAGTCCTATAGAGAGCGCTATAACCAGCAGCAACAAATATTACTTGATTTACAAATGCAGCAAGAAAAACTAAACAATCAAAAAGAAGCTGGAAAAAAAGATGTGGAAATAATGAATGTGAAGTATGTGCCAAAGGGAATGCCTGATTTTCAAATTGAAAATAATTTTTGTCTGAAGTTTTATTGTGTGGTGTAACTTAATCACAAGTCGTTGCTTTCTTTTTTGAAAAATGATTTTGTGATGTTGTTTTGTAGAATGCAGGAATATCAACAAATTGTGAAAGCAATTAGTGGCTACTGTGAAAACCTATCTGAGGCCAACAATCAGATGAGTGCTATGAGTATTGACCTCCTCCATGTAAAAGATGAACTCAAATGTGCTTTCAAGGGCATTAAAACCAAAGCTATAGATGTCAAAAATGAATACGATATGATGGTTGCGGTCATGCTTCAAGGTACACAGTTTTTGTTTTTGTTTTGTTCATGAAAATTAATCGAGGGCTGCATTGACTGACTTTAATTTTACAGTTTCTGAAACAAGGGAAAAACGCAAACGTCTTGCTAAAGCTGCCAATGACAGGAAGGAAGAAACACTAAAACAACACAAACAAGAAATGGAAGAGTGGGATGCTAAACTTCTTCAAAATAAAATCACTATACGGAGTTTGGAGTCTGAACTCCAATCTATACAAAGAAATAATGAGAGAATGAAACAAAAGGAATTAGAAGTAGCCAAGGAGGATGATGAGGTAAATTCTTACAGTACTTTTTGACAACAGTTTTGGAAAAGATTTTCTTCTCCCTCATCATTTATTTTTAATTCTTGCCTTTTGTTTAGGAAATTGAAAACTTACAGAAAGAATTAGACTCTTACAGTATGAAGTACACAGTAGCCCAAGCTGACCTTAAGAAAGCACAGCTAAGAAATGATGAAGCAAATGCTCTAAAAAAAAAATTTACTCTGGAATTAGAAATTATGAATCAAAGGTATTTTGTTTATTGAAGTTAGTTAAATTTTTAGTGTTTTGGTGCCCCTCTGTTTTTAATTTGTTGAACAACTAGGGTTTTGAATCTACAAGCGGATCATGCTGATCATGAAACAACTGTGAAAAGTCTCCTGCTAGAGAATGCTGAAATGACAACTTTAAATCAGCAATCTTATGAAGAGTTAAAGAAGATAATAACTCAAAATTCTCAGATGGAAACTGAAGTTAATAGTATATGGTGAGCCACTGCTTTGGAATCTTTTGAGTAATGTATTACTTGGAGCATTTGTTAAATAGCACAGCATTTATTTTAATTTGTTTTAACACCTATCAGTAAGGTTTTGGCAGAACAGAGAGAATTTAATTTAAAAAGAATAGCAGAGCTAAAAGATACCCTCAATTGTGAAAAAGCTTGCGGTGAAGACGAAGTTGACAAGCTGAACAAAGAAATTGACTTAGTTAACGTCAATTCTAATGCAACCTCACTCAAGGTATTTTTGTCTGTATATTTTATATTGCTGTATGCACTGTCACTTGACAGGACTATTGCTTGCTTTTAATTTGCAGTGCGACCGTTTGAGAGAAGAGTTAGCTACTGTAAGGACTAAACTTTCTAAAGAAAAAGAAGAAAATGAAAAGCTTTCATCATTAAATTCTGATTTGGTGAAGCAAATAACTCAAAGAAAACATGAGAAAGAAAATATTACAAGGTAAGACAAGATTCGTAGCTTGGTATATTATAAGTTAGTTGAAAGTAAATGTATAATGATGGCTGTTCCTCTTTCAGCACATTGGAAGACTTGACAAAATTGTTAAACTTGGAGAAAGTTAAAGTTTTTAATAAAGAGGCTGAGCTTTGTGAACTCAAAGAGCAGGCTGAAATGGAAACTAAACTTTGCCTTCAAAAAGTAAATGAGAAAAAATGTCAGGTTTCTTCCATCAAACAAATGATATGTGCCAAAAGGGAACATGTTTCATCCCTTTCTCAAAAATGGAAACAACTGAAAAACAACTCAGATAGTGAAAAATCTGCCAATGATAACAACTATAGTGCAGCTATAAAAGAGTTAAATGATACAATTTCAACTTTGGAGAAGGAATTACAAAAGGTCAAAAAGGACAATCAAACATTTACTCAAAATCAATTGGCTCAGTTAGACCAACTTGAAAAGCATCATCTTTTAAAGGAGAAAGAAGTAAACAATGCTGAGGTTGACCTAGATATGGTTTCAAAGTCTGTTGAAAAGGGGAAAAATGACCTGATTAGTCTAGAATCAGAAATAAAAGAGATAGAAAAATCTGAGCATGAACTGGTTGAGACTTTAAGCAATCAAAAAGAAACTGTTCATGCCTCAAAGAAAAAAGTAGTTGCTTTATCAGCGGCTGTTAAAAAGAAAGAGCAAGAGGTACTAGGTAAAGAAATAAAGGTTGCTGAACTGAAACAACAAATTGAAGATTTGGATAAAGCAAAAACAGATGCTATTGCAAAAAATAGTGAGGAAATGAAGGTGAGTAAATCCAAACCGAATTGTGAGAGAGTAGGTTTCAGATTTCATTTTACTTCTGTATTTGACTTCATTTTAGATGCTGTTCCACGATATGACAAAATCCAGACAATTTACTGAATCCCTTTCAATAACTGCAAATCAACTGAGCAGTGAGTTAGAGGAATTGAAGAAGATTCATGTTATTGCAATCAGTGAACTTGAGAAAGCAGTTAAAAAGCGTGAAGAGTTGGATGAAAAGTACTCTGAAACTAATTCTGAAATCGAGAAGAAAAGGGCAGAATTAGAGGAGATTGCTGCAAGTCTACACAAGGATGAGAGACAACATTTGAAATCAAAGGCAGAGCTGAGGACTGTAAGCCATCATTATCAGAGGATATGTAGAGTGATTGCCAAATCAAAAGAAAGAGCAAAGAAACAGGTTTGCCTTTTTTTCTCGATTCTCTTCCTTTTTTTCCCCCCTTTTATTTAAGTTTTGGTCTCTTAAAAGTGCAATTCCCTTTTCCCGGCTCATTACAGAAAGAAAATACAGATCGAGCAAATTTAAAAGTTTCTGAGGTTGCAAGAGGAGACAATGACAATTTCAAAGATGTCTCAACTGCATCAACCAGCAAGAAAGACACTACTCCACGATCTATACTAAAACTCTCTTCTAAGCCTCCAACACCTCAATCTGCAAGGAAAAATGTGTCTTTCTCACAAACCACCGAAGAAATTAATAGCTCAGCTAGTACCATTGTAATGGAGGTAGTAAAAATCAAAGCTTACTCATGACATTTTTTTCCTCATGTTTCGACTTGGTTAAATACTAAGCAGAGACGTTTTCTTTTCCAGTGAAGGAGATTAGATCAAACTCCACGACTGATTTTTCTGAAGAAGAATTTGATTTTCAACTGAAGTCTTACCTTTCTTTTCAAAATGATGATAATCCCAAAGCCTATTGTGACTGTTCTAAAACAGTTTTAGATTTTTAGATTTTTCCAAAAGTATCTTAATTTACTAATGAAATTGTTTTTATAGAAAAAGAAAATAAATAACACAAATTTAATAGTGTAGGAGAAATTAAGGCGTATATTTTACACATTTAGTCTTTTCACATACATATTAAATTAACACAAATCAATTGTTCATCTATTGGAACCATTTAACATCATTTCCGACTACTACCAGTTCTGACTAATTTGTTTACAGTAATTACATCTACTCAAATTACTTAATTACTCATACATTTCTTACCAAATGTAAGGTTTATTTACATGTATAGTAATTCTGATAAAAACCAGAGTTATTTTTATGGGGTATCAGTACTTTCAATTCAATACACATTTTGGCATTACACAAACAAAATGTAAATATCACAATCATTCACTCACACATTCTGCAAGAGGAGAAAGCCCAGTGAAATCACTTTCTTAACTTGCTTCTACTTCTATTCTGAGTGTTGTTACAAGTACAATACGATAAATGCAAAGAAACTTCCAGGGCAAAGCAAAGAGAAATGGAAGTTTACAAACTAGATTCATTGCTTTCGGGTTTAAAGCAACCAGTCACTAACACCTTTAGATTAAAAATGACATGTGACTTGAAACACCAAAACTACACATTTCATGGCCATAATGTTACGGATAACATTCGCTGTACTCTTCTCACTGAGTAAAAGAAGAAGAACCACTCTTGGCTTGGCACACAAGACAGCTAAATTACAGTAAAGCAAGCAAATACATGTATTATTATTATTTTTGGCAGTCAACTATCACTCTTCCATATTTTTATTTTTTTTATTTCTTTGAGTTATCAATTGAAAACCAACCAAAAACACCAAAACTATTTGTTTCTTCAAAAATAAATTAACAAAAAAGGTAAGCTGCAAAAACTTAAGTAATGGGTCATGATGACAGCATTCAATGTGTACTTTCACAGAGCAGCCAAAAACTTAGACCATTCCAAGGACTCCTAGTTCATGGCTCACACAAAATAAAACATAACCATGTAACAATAGTATCACAGGGCACCTACTTACCAATACTCCACACTCCACAGCACTAGAAGATGGCAGAGGAGGCCATTTTTCCTTTTAGTTTAAACTGCACATCAACCTCTACCTCAGCAAGTTACCAACAGTAAGGGAAAACTTTGCTCCTATTCATATGGCATGAATGAGACTTCAACCAGATTCATATAAGAGTCAATCTGCCAAGAAGAAAGGAGATATACCATTTAAAGTGGTTAAAAGGTAGAGCAGGTCAAGCAAAATTCAACTAACAAGCTTATTGTAGTTATGCATCATCAATTTCAGCATGGATTAAGAAATTAGCCATACAGCTTAAATCTACAACAAATTAAGTAATTTCAATTCCAATCACAATTTCTTTGAACAGCATACAAATAAAAATAATAAGAAAGAGACACTACCAGAAGAAAATAAAATAGTAAAAATAGAAACAATAAAATTAACATCAGTTCTGAACTGTCATGTTCAATGCATGTCAATCAACAAATTCCTCTACAAAACAATAATACCAGTCAACTTGTTAAAGGATTTATTCCACTCAAAATTTAAAGCTATCCGTTATGTCATTCTTACTGAGGAAGCATATTTATGATGGTAAATACAAAAACACACCAGTAATACTTCACACAAATAGGCAACAAGCCACCAAAAAGAGTAATTAAATTTAATCTAACGAAATTAACATGAACCTAACATGTCAAATAGTATTTTCTTTCTTTTCTTTTAAATTTTAAAAGGTGCCAGCTATGCTTCATGCAAAGAAAATTTTATCACATTTTCAAAGTTAAATTTATGTAAATTTTGGCTTTCTAATCAAGCCAGTACAAATACAATGATAGTTGGATATAAAACAATTTTGAAAGCCCATTGACAGTTCCCAAATCTTCCAGTATAATTTTAACAATTTCTCAAGATGAAGCTTCGGAAGCTCAAAGATTGTAGTGATCTATAGCCACAGCTGTAAACTGACACTATCTAATATCTCAAATTGGGAAAAAATAAACAGATAGGTACATAGATTAATTTCCTATTACGCCATTGTATCAGGAGCAATGACATTCTCATCTACTACACATGAATCAAAAGAGGGTTTTGATCCTTCTTGCTTATCAAGGTAGCGGCGTCTCGCTGCTTGAAGTAGCTGCTCTTTCCGCAGGTGCAGAATGCGCTCGCGCTCCGAAGGTGATTTTGAAAACCGACCACCAAGGTTGCTTGGCTCTTCATCAGTTGCAGTGCTAACAAATTTTAGATAGTTAGTACTAGAATTATGCCAATTAGATACATACGGTATATCACAATAAATCTCTCTCACCTGTCTGAGTGAGTGATACTCTGAGCACTGGCGTCTGGAGCAGAAGGCTGTGCTGACTGAGGCAACACTGTGGGAACTGACGAAATTGCAATAGGGCCTGAAGGTTCTTCATGGAATCTTCGCCCTGGGGGAGCCACTAAGCGCCCATCCAAAATATTCTCAATGGTGATTTCAACAGAGCGAGTGAGCCTTAAGTCATCCATGATAACAGGCATGGGCATGTGAGGAAACAGTTGCTGAACCTAAATAGAGGAGCCCATCATCCAATATTAGCTGGAGTTTGTCACTCTAGGAATGTCTTTATCCAAGTACAAGTTTCCCATAATGTATTTTTATTAAATGAGAAGAAAATTAAATCAAAAAGATCACCTGACGAGCCATAGCATCTAGTTGGGACGTTTGAACAGGAGGTCCTTGATCTGCTCTCAGAAGTTGTGTGTGGGTAACTTCAACTGAGAAACTTGGGAGCCATGAAACATATCGCGAGCCTGCAAAAATGAAACAATTGTATTTTTCTGCCAGTTGCCAAGGTTGTTTATGGGAAACATATACGCACCATCAAAATGAAAGAAGTGGTTAGCAGGTGGTCTCCTTGCAACCTGAACACCATCAGCACCACCATCTACAGCCAGCAAAGTATGGTCCAAGGGGCCATGGTCACGTGTAATAGGACTTTGCATAGAAAGAGCAAGACGACAAGTAGGACAAGAAGTATCCTGCTCCAACCATGACTGGAGACATGAACTGGAAAAACAATAAATGAAGTTACATGTAGAAATAAGTTGCGAACCATTCTTTAACTTGCATCATGGCACCTACTTGTGGAAGAGATGAGAGCAGGGGAGCTTGCGGGCTGTTTCCATTTTTTCCCAACATATGGCACAATTGTCCGAGTTTTGAGCGAGCTCTTCAGCTGAGGCCATTGGATAACTAAAATAAGATATAAGATGTGAAATAAGAAAGATGTTAAAAACATCAAGGCATAAAATGAATGTGTAAATTATCAAACTGTTGATAGACACACTTACTTTTGTTCCAAGTGGTTGAGAACCCAAAGGTAGTTCCTATGCTTTTTGAATCGCCTTTGTATTTCATGAGTGAGAAAACGTAGCTGCATGCAGATCACAAGTGATGCCATAGAGAGGAATATGTTTGACCATAGAAGCATATGTAGATGATGAAGAAGATCCACTAGTAAAGCTGCCAGTTCCAAAACTAACTCAGCATAATAAGCAACAGGCCCTCGCTTTTCCCAGGCCACAACCCGGGCAAGACCTTCATGATTTCCTGAACTACCACTGTCACTTCCACGCATGTCATATAAATGCAGAATGTACCGTAATATAACATGGAGAGTCCTCACAGTTAGCAGAACACACTGCAATCACATCACAATAATAAGTTTAAAATTCATGTTCACATTCACATTTACTAAATAAAACTATGATTTACCTCTGCAGCCATAAAGGCAAATGTGTTGAATCCATCAAAGAAGCCAACAGCAATACAGATGAGGAACATAAAACCAGAGAGGAGGAGAATGGCAAACAACAGGCCAACCAGCCTTGCATGACTCCAGCCTGGTGTTGTAGGTGAGAACGAGAGCTAGAAGGCAAACAAAATGAACTTATAGACCAGTCAAAGTTCAAATTACTACTACAAGTTACCCAGAATCCAAGAGCACAATCTCCATGGAATCAAAATTTAAGATTAAACTTCTACTTACATATTCAAATCGATCCTTGCACAGCTGAGCCAGTAGGTGTAGAAATCCCAGCACAGAAAACCAAGCAACCCAGAGAACCACTTCATCCAAGTACTGGACATTTATTACCCCAAAAACAAAAATGAATTTGTAAAACACAAAGTTCCAAAATTTGTCCTTTACGTGTTGTTGCTCAGAAACTCTGAGCTGTCCAAACACCACACGCTGAATCAGCTTGCCCAGTAGAATGAGACAGCAGTACGCCATGTTCATCAGGGTCTAAAACAAACAGGTAAAATAT